CCCCCTGGCTACGGGCATGGATAAGTATGACCTATAACCTCTGTGCTTGTTCCCCCCTCTCTTCAGACCGTCCATCCAGCAGAAGTGCCTCTCATTCCAAACCTCCGTCAGACGATTCTGGTTTCCATAGCAACCAATCCAACCATCACGCAAAAAGAACACCGAAGGTCGCAGCACATGACCTTGACATCCGTGTAGAGGACGAGGAAGGAATCGGGAGCACGGCTATCTCTGATGTCAGCAAATCTGGTGTACACAGGTTAGTGATGATGTCAGCACTTTATGTGAAGTACTCTGAACATAATGTAGTTCTTTTTTCTGATCTTAAAGCACTTGAAGTGTTCATTCTTAAGTCAGGTGCTCTTAAAGGAAGTCCTTGAAAAACAGATGAAATCTATGAAAAAGATGATGAATTTTTTTGTTATTTGCAAAAATTTTGACAGAAACAAAAGAAGTGTAAACATCAAACTTGACAGTGAATGAAAAAGTGCCCAAACTAATTATAAGCTGAATTAGTACCCAAAAAGTATCAAGATATTTCACCCTCTTCTTTTGTTTTGTCAAGTGTTTGTTCAGCTTTATGTCTCAAGTGCGATGTAGTGGTTGGTTGAAGTACTGATTAAATTACATGCAATTTTCTGACTGCAATTTTCACTGGTACATGTACTTGTAGTTAGCATTCTGTCCAAAACGTAGAAAGAATTCTTCTAAATTCATTGTAGAGCAGGGTTTAACACTTGTAATTGTTGACTTTAACATTCTGTGGTTGACTGCTTAGAAACTTGCTTACTCTTGTTTCCTAAAATGTTGTAATTTTTTTGTCTTGTTGTTAACTGTCCAAAACGTATAGCAAGACTTCCTCTGATTTGATTATGAAACAGGGCTTTACACTTAAGATCTTAGAGTTTGAAACATTCTGTGATTGACCGCTTGAAAACCTGTTTACTCTTTCTTCTCATCCGGTTGGTAAGTCACTGAGTGAAGAGGCTCTTTTTACACAACCAAGTCTCTTATTCAGCTGATGTTTCAGTGACTGTCTGTCACCTTCCTGAGGGCAATTCTGACTGACCTTTTTTTCTCATGTTTGTCTTGTTGTTTGCAGCAATGTTGAGGAGTCTCCAGTGAAATTGAAAAAGGAAACAAGTAGCAAAATGGCGACCCCAGAATCCAGGGACGTGGCAGAACCTACGCAGACAAAAAAGAGCCGCCCAAGTTCTTCGCGAGGTCTGCGTAGCGGAATGATGGCTGGACCAATCATGAGCAGCCAAGATGTGAGTTGAACAGTTATTATTACCTCCGGGGAATAAATGGTTTATTGGCCAAACATCACCTGTGCAATCGCAGCCGTATAGTGCTGAATTTATGCAGGGTTTACAATCAGATGATACAAATGGTAATGATACACATAATAATACACATACTAGTAATACACAATGTCATGATACATATTTGTTCCACATTTTTGTGGAACTGCCGCAAGGGTCTGTGCGGCTGCCATTCGGCACCACAAGGTGACCTCAATACGGCTTTCCCCAACTGAAGTTAGGTACCCATTCACACTTGGGTGGAGTGAGGAAAGTCGTGTAAAGTGCCTTTCCCAAGGACACAACGTCGGGCGCATGTTCAGACATGTCCCGGGTACGACTCGGGATCGAACCTGGGTCTCCCGGTTCACAGTCGATTAATCATAATCAATGAGTCACATTGATTTTCTGCTGTTTCCAGAAAAATAATTTCCTTTTCATCTAGAATATTGAAAATGTCTCTGCAAAATGCAGACTGCAGGTGGGCATTTCTGACCCAAATAATTAAAATGCCTGCGGCTCAGACTTATAATCAATTGTTAAACATGAAAATGTTTATTCAAGACATTATATCCGGTACACAAACATCTAATTACAAAGGCTCAGTGCATGTTGCAGCAAACAAGGAGAAATCTGTGATCACCATGGCACAAAACAAGGCACTGCTGTACTTCCTACTCCTGGTTTCCAATCAGCTACTGCTCGTGTCGGCGCCAGCTTTACGGTGCCCTGACAGCTGTCGCTCCTACTCCGTAAACCTTTTGGGAAGGAAGCGAGTGTCCTGTCGCTGCCCAGATAAAAACTGGGTGGGGTCCCCCTGCAGCTGGATTGGGTACCGAGGAACGTACAGCTTCCCCGCATGTCTCGACGCCATACCAACCGGCTTTGTCGAAGCCACGTCGTCGATCTTCATCAAGCATCTCCGTTCCTCTACCATTTTGGAGCGGTCCTTCCCCAACAGCCCAGAAGTTCAGTACCTTTGGATCCAGCAGTCCAACGTGTCCACGGTGCAGCCAGGGGCTTTCCAAGGTCTGCCGTTATTGGAAGACCTCGCCCTTAATGACAACCGTATCTCCAGTCTTGGTACGTACGTCGACAAAAATGTGTATTTTGGGATCCTGATATTTAATTTTGTTGCATTTTTGAAAATAACCTTATTTCATAAGTAGTATGAATTGATTCCTCAATAACATCACTAGTATACATGCAGGAGTATTGGTTTGTTTCCACTGAAATTCAAGAACATGAAGACTTAAAGAATACAAAAATCAGTTGAGGATTATCATCATGGCAGTTAGTGACAGTTATCAGAAAAAAGGATGTAAAAAATTTGACTTATTAGTAACTTGAAATTCTGAAGTTAGTTCAGAAGAGGAGCAGTAAGGTTGGTAATTTGGCATTGTTAATCATTTCATTTCATTTTTATGTTGTGCACCCAAAATATATTTAAGTACACCTAATTTTTTTGGTTATGTGCACATGAGTGCATCTAATTAGAAGAAAGAATTTCGACTATGTGGATCACACAAATGTGGCCAAGCCTGGTTGAACCGGATTTGGAGCATTTTCACTGGGGTTATGTTGACTGGATTGATTCAGTTGCTAATCTATTCAGCTTGATTGTGTGGTGTTTGTTTGGCACCTCAATAATCAATAATTATTACAGTAACTACAAAAAAATTCCTGCAAACTTAAAATAATTTATAATATTCTGTTTTGTTTGTCCACAGAACCCGATACCTTCCTTGGGCTTGAGAAGGTAAAAAACCTCAACCTTCAAAGGAACGCCATTTCCGTCATACCCCAGCATGCATTCCGCGGCCTGCCTCTCCTTGAGAGGTTGAGGTTGAACAAGAACCGTCTGCGTTCCGTGCCCGTCGACGCACTGCTGCCGCTTCCGGCACTGAAGTTTGCAGACCTGGTAACGAACCACATCACCACGATCGACAGCCAAGTCCTGCGTCTGAGACACAACCAGACCTTTCGGCTGATGTTGACAGACAACCAGCTGAAATGTGACGCCAATCTCACCTGGTTCATCTGTAACCTGCCAGAGTTGGGTCACATCTTTGGGCGTGACTTCCTGAGGTGTGGGTCGCCTGCCAACCTGAGCGGAATTCTGCTTGCCACTGTGAGGAAGGACATCGTCGGTCAGACCAATATGGGCTGGTCACCACAGGACATTAGATTGGGAAGATGCGACGAAACGTCCACCATTCCCACAGACATGCGGCACACAAATGCCACCCTAGGCTCAGAGTACCAGGCTACAACAAGCCAGGCTACAACCGGGACTGACATAATTGTCACTCCTCCAAGTTTTGGCCCAATCCTCCCCAAGGAAGACGACAGTTACCACGTCAGTGCCGTCATTATGGCTGTTGCTGTGCCCCTCCTCATGGTGTTGGCATGGGTGGTTGTCATCTACTTATACGAACGCTGTCAGGACACAGGTCTGGCCCCCCACAACGCCCCCGCTGAACCAGATGGAAACTCCGCCCCTTCGGACAGAGACTCAGTCACAGGCAGACAACCAAGTCCTGCTCAGGACCAGACATCAGAGGGCAACGATGACATTGAGCCGTACGCTGTGTCATACATGGATGTGTCTGGGAAGGGGAAAAATGGCAAGCTTTTTCCCTACGCAACAACTTCCTTTGCTAACATCCAGCCAAGGGAACCAGACAACGATGACATGCAGACAATTGAAGACACCGATGACATTGAGCCGTATGCTGTGTCATACATGGATGTGTCTGGGAAGGGGAAAAATGGCAAGCTTTTTCCCTACGCAACAACTTCCTTTGCTAACATCCAGCCAAGGGAACCAGACAACGATGACATGCAGACAATTGAAGACACCAATGACATTGAGCCGTATGCTGTGTCATACATGGATGTGTCAGGGAAAGGGAAAAATGGCAAGCTTTTTCCCTACGCAACAACTTCCTTTGCTAACATCCAGCCAAGGGAACCAGACAACGATGACATGCAGACAATTGAAGACACCGATGACATTGAGCCGTATGCTGTGTCATACATGGATGTGTCAGGGAAAGGAAAAAACGGCAAGCTTTTTCCATATGCAACAACCTTAATCAACAAAGATCCAGGGCCACAGCTTCAGCCATACGCAGTGACCCACGATGAAGACCCAGGGCCACAGCTTCAGCCATATTCAGTGACCCACGATGAAGACCCAGGGCCACAGCTTCAGCCATATTCAGTGACCTACGATGAAGACCCAGGGCCACAGCTTCAGCCATACGCAGTGACCCACGATGAAGACCCAGGGCCACAGCTTCAGCCATATTCAGTGACCTACGATGAAGACCCAGGACCACAGCTTCAGCCATACGCAGTGACCTACGATGAAGACCCAGGACCACAGCTTCAGCCATATTCAGTGACCCACGATGAAGACCCAGGGCCACAGCTTCAGCCGTATGCAGTGACCCACAATGAAGACCCAGGACCACAGCTTCAGCCATATTCAGTGACCTACGATGAAGACCCAGGGCCACAGCTTCAGCCATATTCAGTGACCTACGATGAAGACCCAGGACCACAGCTTCAGCCATATTCAGTGACCTACGATGAAGACCCAGGGCCACAGCTTCAGCCGTATGCAGTGACCTACGATGAAGACCCAGGACCACAGCTTCAGCCATATTCAGTGACCTACGATGAAGACCCAGGGCCACAGCTTCAGCCATATTCAGTGACCTACGATGAAGACCCAGGACCACAGCTTCAGCCATATTCAGTGACCCACGATGAAGACCCAGGGCCACAGCTTCAGCCATATTCAGTGACCCACGATGAAGACCCAGGACCACAGCTTCAGCCATACTCCGTGACCCACAATGAAGACCCCACACAAGGTACAAGATGCCATACAAGGGCAGGTTATACATCACTGACTAAAGTCACTAACCAACAGACAACAAACGGCACACAACCGGTCACCCATCCAAGGGGCCAGTCACTTCCAAGATGCAATACACTAGCAGGTTATACTTCACTGACAAATAACACTAACCAACAGACAACAAACGTCACCCAACCAGTCACCCAAACAAGGGGCCAGTCACTGCCAAGATGCAATACACTAGCAGGTTATACGTCACTGACTAATGTCACTAACCAACAGACAACAAACGGCACACAACCGGTCACCCAAACAAGGCGTCAGTCACTGCCAAGATGCCATACAAGGGAAGGTTATATGTCACTGACTAAAGTCACCGATGATGATGAAACAATCGTGAAACAACCGGTCAACCAATCTGAGGGTCAGTCACTGCCAAGATGCAATACAAGAGCAGGTTATACGTCACTGACTAAAGTCACTAACAAACAGACAACAAACGTCACACAACCAAGGGGTCAGTCACTGCCAAGATGCAATACAATGGCAGGTTATACGTCACTGACTAATGTCACTGATGATGATGATGATGAAACAATCGTGAAACAACCGGTCAACCAATTAGAGGGTCAGTCACTGCCAGAAGAAGTAAGCATCAAGCCGAACTATGAGAGAGGCTGTCCAACTACAAGAGACAGTAGGGGTCCTTATGGAATGGACGAGGGACAGGAGGTCCCAAGTGTCAGTAGGGTGCTGTACAGGAGTGGCTCACAGCACACTGGTGCAGAGGACTGTGGGTCTAAAATCTAATCATTTTGAGGTCTCATCAAGACCTACCCACCTACCAAATATCAAAACAATCCAATCCAATTCTTTCTCCATCTTGCCTTATCTACATGTAAAAAATAATAATTGAGTCTCATAAAGACGATGGAGAAATAATCTCTTTGGCATTTTTTCATAATTTAGTACATGTATGCCATGTATTCTCCTCAAGGACTGAGACTGTGAGAGCTCGAATCAAAGAGGTGCTGTTTGAAAGTGGTACAATTAATTGCTGGATTTTCTGGATATTTCACTGGAAGTGTTGAATATTAAAAGCTTACCGGGGTTAATGCCCTTACAACAAACATGTACACAATAATTTATGATTGTAAAATGTATCAAGAATTCGAAGTTGTTTTGAGATTTATTGAGTTCGTTGCATTGCTTTCCTGCAAGAAATAATATGTATTTTATGGTTTAATTTTATGGATGACATCCTCTGAAGACCCCCAAACTAGTGTGCGCGGGCGAATAAAAAAATATTCTGGCTAAAAATAAAAGTGCTACTAAACCACAGGAATACAAAGCTGGTATTGTGAATTTGTGACAGTACTTAGCAACGTATACAATATGCGGCTTTTTGCGGCATTTATGAATCGGGATTTATGAATTTTTGAGTCTCGGAGCTTCGAATTCGATAGCCTGGGTACTCAGCTCCATTTTGTCACTGACTACCATGGACTACCCAGGCCTAGAGCCAGGCCAGACAGAGCCTCGGTGGAAGTGATGTGTTTTTTTTTTTTGAGGGCGACAGGAATTAATGCACGCGCAGATGTCATCCATAAAATTAAGTCAGTGTGGCCTTACAATACAAAAAAGTATCAGTCAGACATATTAATATTCTTAGCTGCATACCAAAGGGGTATGATGAAGATTTATTACCCATCTTTTTCTTGTATCTATAACTTTTTGGTATATGGTACTATAAGTTGAATGTTTTTTGTTTAAAATTTCTACAGAACCGAACATCAAGAAGAGGCCGGGTGCCCTCAACTCGACCCAACTTGGCAATAAACCTGGGGACAGAGAACAAACTGGACTTGACCAGCGTGGACAGTTCTTCCACCAAATATTCCGAGAGCAAAGTCAGCTCTGGTACCCTAGGAAGCAGTTTAACCAGAAAAGACTCCTCCTCTGACTCCAATCTAGGAAGTGAGAAGTCACCATATGTTGCAAAAGATCCTGCCAAGAAAATACTAACTACTGAAGAAGAAACCTACCTTGATAGCAAAAGAACCACGTCATCTAGCAAACTTATCAAATCTACCAGTCTAGACGAGAGAATTGTCAGCCCAAATGGCGGGACAAGGACTAAAACTCAGGACACACGGAGAAAAAGCGCGGAGCCAGAAAGCTTGGCAGCAAAACTGGACGGGAAGATATCGCCGCCCCCTAGCAGCTTGAGTCAGAAGCACAAGTCTTCGCCAAACCCTTCGGAGATTCTTACCGACATCAGTCAAGACACCTTGACAGAACAGTTGGCAGCAAGGAGAGAGGCAAGGGCTAAGACGCGCCCCAAGACAGCTGAGAATGGCGCAAGTAGAATGGACAGACTTAAAGAAAGATTGAAAAGTGTGGAGGACAGTTTTGACGACAATGGCACCAATAATAGCAAGTCAAGGTACTAACAGCTACACAATTGGAAATTTTGTCAGAATTTTTTTTACTGTTTCTTGTGATTTAAGAATATGTGATACTATATTACTTTTTTTCTGACATTTCTTGTAGGAAGTCTACCTCCTCCACTACAAAGAAGTTTGGTGACATTGAAATGGGAGACGTGGATGACCTTGAGGATGATTTTGGTGACCTTGCCCTCTCTGCACCTGCACCAAGCATCAAGCCATTGGCCGATGCTCAACCAATCACTGCCGAGACTGCAACTGTAAGCTTCATTCAAATTTTCTACCTGTAAATTCAGTTTTCAAAATTTTAAATGCATATTTGGCTCAGATACATGTACGATTGTGTGATTTCTTCGCTAGACCAAGAATTCTGATAATGCATGCCAAAAAACAAAAACAACAACAGTTACTTATTAAGCAATTAGATATGATTTTGGAAACGGTCACTGCGTTTCAGCTAGCATCCACTACCTTTCGTCGGTGACACTGGAGAGTTGTTAGAAAGCAGGTTTATAAGACTAAGTACAAACTGCCTACCTGCCTATATGCACATGCCAGGTACTGGCCCCTTGCTCCCCTCCATCAGGTACTTCCAGCCAGCTCTATCAAGGGCAATAGTCTCTGCTTCTCTTAGGGTAAGCCCTGTGTCACTCTGAATCTGGTCTTTCCACCTCTTGGTTGGTCTTCCCCGGAGTCTAGGGTTTTTAAACACCTGGTGGTATGCCTTAGTACAAACTATTTATTGATAATGCAAATAAGTGAAGACAAATAACCTTCCCTTCATATATTATGAAATTGTGTTTTCAGGAGTTGAAAACCCTTCTGTTTGGGTCGGCCTCAGAACAGTTTAATGCAGAATGGAGAAACCAGAGTCTGGGTTTCTGTGACACTGAAGGCCTGAGGTTTGGGATTGTACAGAACAAGGTAGGCTCTCATGCAAGGCTTTAAAGTTAAACCCTTGTCCTGTGGAGCCCATATATATATATGGGTTCCACATACCAATAGAATATAGTGCCCTGTATGTGTACGATTTGGGGGTATTTCTTGTGCAACACATCACACTGCAGTGAAACGCAACAAATGCGGAAGTAACTACGCCACCGCCGGGCAAAAAAGTCAAGGGTCTGTGACCTGATTAAGACATCAAATTATTGAAATATATGCACGCCAGCAGGACAAGGGTTGAAGGATCACGTTTAGGGAGAAGGGTGTTACACGTATTTTCCAATACATGTAGGTGTGATAAAGTCCCACCAATGCTTGTACAAAAAAGAATCAGTACTAAGAACTAAGAAATGTAATTATTACGGCCTAATTTACTTTTTTTCAGCAATAATTGTGGGCACCATGTAATTTCTAAACTATATTGCAACTTTCCTTATGATCCTGAAGTGAAGATTTATTTTTTTCTTCTCTTGCTCCTGTAGGGAGGTCCGTGTGGTGCCCTAGCAGCTATCCAGGCCTGTATGCTGAAGAGACTGTTGTTTGGGGAAGCCAGGGACAAGACAGCTAACCCACACAGGTATACAAGGAACATTTATAACACATGGTTTTATACATCATTCACTTCCAAGTCTGGTCAAGCAGGCTCGGTCAAGATCTGCAAGGATGGTGCTTTGAAAAAAAAAATCTTGAGAATAGAAGTTGATGTTTTGCATGAATGATTGGTGTCATCATAGTGCATTCAGGATTCATCAGTAAGTATCATAATAGATATTTACTATTTGTTCAAGAGGCCAGGGCAAATCTGCCTTTAAAGCTAACACTTAAGAAAAAGGCATCCTTTTTCTTATGCTAAGGCAACATTAAAATTCCAAGGCAATATTTTTGTCATTGTATTAAGGACTATATCGAAATGCTGCAAGATTGTTTTTTTCCCACCCCAGACTGTTGAGCCCAGACTCCAGACTAAGATCAGAGAGTCTGGCCCTGGGACTGGCAGACTTGTTATGGAGGGCTGGCAGGAAGAAACTGGCTGTAGTGGCTATGTGAGTACAACACACATAAAACAAGGAAACCAGACTTTGCCGCCTCACCTTTACTACTTTGTAACATTTCTGAATTCCCATAGACGAAAATAGCAAGGACTGATGAGGGTGCATTGTGCACACACACAAACTTGCAAGTTACAATGTACTTATAGCATGGTTCTGAATAGCATTTTGTATACATTATCTTGTGCATGTCCTGGATCCTACAATAAGCTCCAGATTTGTGTGACTGTTAATCTTCTGGGTTTTTTTAAACCTCCCTCTCCTCTATCCACCCACAGGCCTTCAGGAAGAAAACAGTTCCATGCTGGAGCCAGATACAGACAGGACAACTTAACAGAAACTGTGAGTTCTATAATCATGGTACATTGTATATTTTGATCTGTGTGTTTTTACAAATCTTGTTTACGTGTGGAAACACTTCTTTAAAATGTAGTACATGTACATGTACTTCTAAACAGGTTGATGACAAGAACATTTTAGGTCCTAGACTGTCTCCCTGCAAATGGACACTCTACACCTTAAGTACATGTCTGTAAGTGTTAGAACATGGAATAAGAAGTAAGAATGTACGTGTCTGTAAGTGTTATAAGAAGTTTGCTGTCTCCTTGTGCATTAGCTGATGCTGAACAGAGTAGACTCCCAGGAGGACCTGGAAGCTTTCATAAAACAGAACGTCTCTCTGGTGAGTGATGTGGGAGAACCCACTCAAAGTACAGACTGAGAGCCTGCTTGTAAATTCCACAGCTGCATTCTTGCTGTTAGCCTGTGTTACACAATACAGTCTCTCACTGTCAGGCTGATTTGGCTTCCTCCCTGTGAGCTTCAGATTCAGCTTTATTATGTTAACCGAAGGAAAACCTATTGTTTTGCTCTGTTTCTTCCTCTTCTTCTTCTCCAAACAGTGACCTATGACCTGACCAATGACAATGACATGATTTGTTGACGTCTGTCACCATGGTGACTGGTGTTGGGTTACGTAATGTTGCAATTTCATGGTCTGCTCTGCTCCTGTCACCATATACTTGTAATACATGTGGGAGAATAATCTAACTCAAACTTACAGAAAGCCTGTTTGTATATTCAAAAGCTGCAGCACGTTGGCAGAACATACTGCACTTGCGTAAAACCTGTAATGTATTGTGCATAGCACTTCCGCAGAACGTCTCATATAAGTTTGTATTTGCGTGCATGTATATAAGGTTAACATCCCGTCTGTAGTTTCCAAATGTTATGTCTGAAAAGATATCGTCTGCAACAGGCAAACTTCTGATGCAACGTTGACCAAACATCCAACGAAAATCGTGAAAAATCAGGGTTTCGTGCAGGTGCAGTGCATTCTGTTACTGTTGTGTAAGGTGGTACATGTGGATAATTAGCCAAAAATGGCTACCTCTGCAAACCTTTTAAATTTATTCTTTATCAAACATATTATATAGGTCACAACTAATTTTATCTCTTGATTCTATTTCAGTTTGAGACAAATCCCTATGCCACTATTTTGGTCCTGTACTCCGCAATCCTGTCCAGGACTATTGACCAGTAAGGACATTTTTTTTTTCACATAGTAAAGTTGGATAAAATTCATGTATATACCAAACACAAAGATTCATAAATCAAAAACCAAATCGTCAAAGATTTCCTCAGTCACAATATAAACTTTTTTGTGTTTGGTTAATGTTAAGATTGGCATCGTAACTGTTGTTTTGTTGTCCTCAACAGAGGTGAAGCATGCTTTTTAAGTACTAGTAGCTGTACTTACATTTGTAGTCTAGTGCATTGTGGCATCGCTACAGCTGGTGTATTTTTTTGGTGAAGATGAAAATTACCGTGTTGCTAATACAAGACGGGGGCTCACCAGACCTCCATACAGCATTGCTTTGCTTATAATATCACAAATATGTATAGTATTTAAAATATGTATTGTACGTTTTAGTGTGATATCTGACATGGATGAACCCACCACCAAGCTGATAGGAGCACACGGCTACTGCACTCAGGTGAGGCAATGCTGGGACTGTTTAAGTGAAAGTGAAAGTGATCTCGATCCAGTTTAGCTCATTGAAGAGTTAATCTTCCACTGGTCGTGACAGAGAAGACAGACGCTATGTACAGTATTTACAGGTTCATTGTACCGGGGAAATTCCCCCTAGCTCTTTTCGACAAGCACAATGAACAGTGGACCACAGTTAACGTCCCGTCCGAAGGACTGCGACCCTAAACAGTAGCGTGCATGTCGGGTGAGCGACATCAGCCGGGATTCGAACTCCCAACCTCTTAGTCCAGAGGGCTGGCAGGATCGCTCACCACTGGACTACACACGCTGTTTAAAAGAGACACCTAGTGATATCCACACAAACTGCATGCAAGTTGGGCTCTGTCCTTGGTGCTGAAATACACTTACACTGTCCCCTTAGTACTTTGCCATGTATTTGAAGCATAGAATATTCTTTCTTTTTTTCAACACATTTCTGTAGCCTTGTCAACTTCATGTGGTATATTCTAAAAAGTTATTGTTTATTGATTAAAGTTGTTTTCCTTATTTTTAATGAGAAGTAAATATTCACATATCTCTTATTATGATACTAAATGATATTGGTATCATGGAACAAACTACATGTATCTTTTTTTTAGTGTTAAACAACATGTACTATCCTGTTAATACAATTATTTTATCAAAGGCACTTACTTTTTTACCTTTTTTTTAGATACATGTAGATTCTTTTCGTGATGTTGATTGAAATGAAAAGAGACGTCTACACTGACATTCCTCATGTAATTGAATGCCCAATACACTAACCTTTCTGCCTTAACTGCCTAACGACATTACATTCTCCACCAATAAGCTTGACCCTAATGCTAAGTGACATTTCCTTCAACATTTGACTTGTAGATTGGCTGATAAGTATGACATTTCTGCCAGTAGTGATGAACTCAATCTACACTGGGTCTGTCCCTGGTGCTGAACGGCATTTCTAGAAAATGATTTTCCATAATACTGAATGACATTTAAATCTAGCTTGCCCATGGTGATAAAATTTACTCTGATGTTATGGCTCTGCCTGCCAATAACATTCCCAGAACACAGCAACCCACTGCCCCTTTGGCCTAAAAAAACATAGCCCTCAAAGGCTATGAGATCCGTACTTATATAAAGATGCTATTGTAGAACCTTTATCTTTTATAATCATCTTTTATAATTATCTTTTTTAATTATCTTTTTACCTTTGATCATTATACTTATGTTCACCTTCACAGAGGGAAACATACTGTTCTTGCTCTTTTTCTGTTCTTCTTCAAACAAATAAGGTCAATGACCTGGACCGGATGTCTGTCACCATGGTAACTGGTGCTGTAGCAGGCACCCTGTGATGCTGGATTATGTTATGTAGCAAGTGGCAGGACAGGGTTAGAGGGGCTGTTTTAGTGTTTTTGAGTTAATGATTGTGTTGAGTAAGAATAAACAGCAGTATACCGGTAATTATTATAATAGTTTATTAGGTTATGTGAAGGTAAACATAATGCATTTAAAACTTTTTTTGTTGAACTTTTCTAGGAAATGGTGAACCTGTTCCTGACAGGCAAGGCCGTGTCTAACGTGTTTAATGACACAGTGGAGCTGGACTCGGGG